AGTCTCGTTAATGGAATTTATTGACAGTTGTTCAGTTTTTCTTATTGGCAAGAGTCTTCAAACTTGGTTCATTAAAAACAGAAAAATATTTTGTTAGGCTCAAGCTCTATAAAATGTGCATCTAATGTTTCTATCCACAATCTGATTGTTTTATTCTGTACTGGACTTCATATTAATAGTACTGTTAATCCACAGATTGACAGAAGAATTGTTATTAGCTGATCATATGACAACACTGAGGACCAGGCAGCAGCTAGCCATTAAGGTGTGCTCAGTTTTATCAGTATTGAATTAAATGTGTTTTTAAAAAAATGTATCTTTTCCATTTTACTATTTAAGCTCAGATTTTCTTTAAAAGTTTGTTTGTATTTATGCCTTTGAACTGCATCATCACAAGTTGTTAATTGAGTAATTAAGTAAAGTACTAAAGTCTCAGATAAGTATCCTAGAATGAAAACAAAGGGAAGAGTTTAAAAGTTCTATTCTACTTTATTTGTTTTAACAATTTTTTGTTGGTTTTTTCAATAAACTTAAGAAAGTGTATAAGGGTTATAAAAATGTCTGTTCACTAGTTGCCTTCCCTGTAGTCTATCAATTCAAAATTAGAATGATAAAAACCCTATAACTGAAGCACTTTTGAAAGATGGGCCTTTCTTATTCAGGAGCAAACTTGGAATGGTGGTGTAACTGGGCGAGAGATATAGAAAGGAAATTGAGTAATGTCGTGATGGTCACTTGGGCTTCCAGGAAATATTTTTTTCTGTGTTGACAAACACCTGTGGTGGGCAGAGCACAGATAGCCCATTGTGTAGCTTTGTGCTTAACTTCAAACAAAAAAGTAGTTTCCATCTTAGTTTGCTTTATCTAAATGCACATCTACAAGTGCTGTCATCTTCTGACTACAAATGAAGTTAAAACATCCATATTTTTACAAAATAGATTAAAGTTGTTTGTAAAGTTATTAGATTAAATGACAATTTACATAATATTCGATATTTCCAAACATAAAATTTTTTTAAAAGAATACCTAAATACTTTTTCATTTCAAAATGAAATCCCACAGAGCTACACAAAGGGCTACCTGTGGATGGCCATCTCTAATTTTCATTTGTTAAAGGAATAGTTCCAGCCTATATCCATAGATATTGGAGAAGTTGGAAAACTACATTTAAAGTATTTTGGTTGTGTTTAAATGTACAAGTAGTAGGTAAATACACAATACTGTAGTAATTGAAAATGAAGTTTAGATCCATCATTATGAAACAAGTTTTGACACTTTCGCTTGTCCTCTTCAACCCATCTTTTGGTTGTGAAAGAATTCCACATAGTTCATCTTATAGTTTCAAGTTGTGAGAAAGAGGTTTAGTTTAAAATTGTCCTTACAGGTGTTAAAGTTTGGAATTCTTTGAAGTAACTAACTTTGTACAGCTTTTTTTGACACAGTTTCTAATTTTCTATGTTGTTTGGACTGATTTCCAGTTGATTTGATGATCAAGATTCCTCATATAGAAAATGTTTCCATATAAACTTGTTGTTCCATAATAGTGTGTATAGATTTTGATAAAGTTCAATTCCATCACTTCTGTAACTATTGTTTATTCTCTGAAAGTATTTAAAGGTTTGTGTAAAATAAAATCTTTGAGTTTTACTGACTAAAAGAATAAATAGTAAATAAGTAAAAAAAGGAAGAAAAAAACATTTACTATAGAATCATAGAAAAATGAATTGGTTGAAGCTGTAGTGTATTCTCCGATACCAAACAAAACTCGCTTCTAAAGCTTTTCTTTGCATCAGGGAATTTTTCCTGTGCTTCTTGATTACCAAATGAAGATACTGTTTTTGGTCTTCATCTTGGTGTAAAGTTGGTTGTATTCTTCCACGAGGGCCACATCTTTTCCATGATATCATTGATGAACCAGAGTTCCTTGCATGATTCTTTGCCCTTTAAGCACCCTTCATTTTCTTCCCATTGACCTCCATCCTTGGAGAGAAAGGAGTCTCGTTTAAAAACTGTAGGCTATTGGTCATGATGAAGTTCTCCGGAACTTCAACCTTTGTCTCCAAATCCTCTTTAACTGTTGTTTTGTTCTGCTAATCCTCATTCCTCTGAGAGCTTGGACCATATGGCACTTAGTTTCCATGGACACATCATTGTTGAAGAAGGCAAGAGCGACAAGCACCTCAGACAAATACCAGAGGGGATGAAGGAACACAAATGTGCAAATTCTTCACATCCCTACCTTCTCTCTAACCATGTGGATAAACTGGCCTTGGAACATGAAGACTTTGAGAGCATAGAATGGCTTTTGCCATCCACCTGGTACAATGAGTCTCTCCTGGAGCGATCAACTACATTCCTTGAAGCGGCATTCCCCCAAGAAAGATCTTTACCAACTCCATGAGTTCCCTATAGTCATCTCTTGAGTGGCCGAGTCCAGAGTATCTCTTCAATGAATGCACAACTTTTGTCATGGATATCTGAGACAGCAGAAGCTGTACTGTTGTCATCCATCACAGTCTGGAATCTTTCCTTGTCCAGGAATCCTCACTTCACCCAAAGCACTTGAAGAGTAAGATGTCTGACCCAGCTGATGTCCCTATGCAAGTTTAGAAGATGTGATACCTGCAGGAGAAGTAGAGCAAGCTTTTCTCCAACTTCTTCTCAAGTGGTAACTATACAAGGACGAGTGTCCACACTTGCATCCTATTCTTCTACCATCAGTGGTGTTCTATGTGATGAGTCTGGACTATTGCCTCTGCTACTATAAGACTTTCACGATAAACAAAATCTGGTGCTTCCATCTTGTGGAAAATCTGTGGCTAAGTGTTGTTTTGATAGAGACTAACCGTATTGACATCCATTTGGTAAGAAAAAAAAAGATGGTATTTATTTGTGGTATAGTGATTTAATAGTCCATCTTGGCATTTCTCTTCACTCTGAATGTTTAACTTACCATAATAGCTGTGATTAGCTCGTGAACACAGTTATTTTTTTTGATAAGCTGAAGCAGTTGGTTACAGATACCATCTGCTCTTGCAAATCACCAATCATCTATTGAATATCAACAAGAGGACCAGGTATTTCAATGTGTAATCACAGGCTGTGTGAGATGTTTGGAGATGTATAAACAGTACATAATTAATCATTTTCAGGCATTCAACCACACAGCCCAATATGATATGGCTGTTTCTGATTACTTCCGTCGAGAGTTTGGTCAAGAACATTCCCAGTTGTCCCTGCGATATGGAATGAACCCTCATCAAACTCCTGCCCAGATATTCACTTACAGTGAAAAACTGCCGCTTACTGGTATGAGAATTTATTTTATACAATTATGGTAAATTTTTTTGCTTCATATTAAGTTTAAGATTGATTCTATACATGTGAGTGTATTGGGTTTCTTACAAACATATAGAAAAATTAGTTCATTTTAATGTTTACACAACATGTTACTATGTTTGTCAAGATATTCCTTATTTTTGGCAAATCTGGAAATTAATTTATTGAGTAGTTATTTACATTGAATATTTGTATCTTAATGATGAAGTTTATATGTACAGATACATCATCTGCATAGAAAGGAAATCGGTGTTTGTTTGATTTGTAGTTTTGAATGGATCTCCTGGATTCATCAACCTTTGTGATGCACTCAATGCCTGGCAGCTTGTGCAAGAACTAGAAGAAGCTTTGAGCCTTCCTGCAGCAGCTTCATTCAAACATGTGAGCCCAGCAGGTGAGTAACTACAGGTATCAAGCAGGTGAGTCTACCGGGTGAGTAACGACAGGTATCAAGCAGGTGAGCCCAGCAGATGAGTAATGACAGGTATCAAGCAGGAGAGTCTACTGGGTGAGTAACGACAGGTATCAAGCAGGTGAGTCTACCGGGTGAGTAACGACGGGTATCAAGCAGGTGAGTCTACCGGGTGAGTAACGACGGGTATCAAGCAGGTGAGTCTACCGGGTGAGTAACGCCGGGTATCAAGCAGGTGAGTAACGCCGGGTGTCAAGCAGGTGAGTCTACCAGGTGTCAAGCAGGTGAGTCTACCAGGTGTCAAGCAGGTGAGTAACGCCGGGTGTCAAGCAGGTGAGTCTACCGGGTGAGTAACGCCGGGTATCAAGCAGGTGAGCAAAACTTGGTAAAATCTTTGTTGTAGTCTCAATTTTCAATATAAGTGTTTATACTATGATCAGAGTTAAAGTTCAAATAAATTTGTGACATTTTATTGACACATTATTATAATTATTGGTTTAGTTTCATTTTTATTCCAGTCTTTCACAAAAAATTAAAATGGCTGTAAGGTTTACACAAATTCCAGACTAATGCTTTCAGGGAATTAATTCTCTAAAAATATTTTGTTGTTTCTGGTATTACTCAGAAGAATTTGGTACATATTTGAAACTCAAGCTGTAAGTTTATTCCCAACAGGTGCTTCTGTTGGTGTTCCACTTTCTCCAGACCAATCTAAGCTGTGTATGGTGGATGATCTCTTTGACGATTTGACACCACTAGCAACGGCCTATGCTCGAGCAAGAGGTAAAGTATCTCCTTCATAATAAACAACGGAAGAAAGTCAAAGGTTAAAGTTTATCCATAGTACTACATTTATTCCTCAGACACTATTGTACCATCATATCTGATATTTACTAAATATTAGTTGCAAAATTACATACTTTCAAGTTTACTGCACCAATATAGAAAGAGTAGAAAGCTAAGATTCTTGATAGTAAAATATTAGAATATAGAAGAAAAAATCCAAATATTGTATAAATTCTGGCTTTCCTTATCTTGTTCTGTCTTTGTAGAGTCCTGGCTTGCCTTATCTTGTTCTGTCTTTGTAGAGTCCTGGCTTGCCTTATCTTGTTCTGTCTTTGTAGAGTCCTGGCTTGCCTTATCTTGTTCTGTCTTTGTAGAGTCTTGGCTTGCCTTATCTTGTTCTGTCTTTGTAGAGTCCTGGCTTGCCTTATCTTGTTCTGCAAGGATTTTTTTATGTTTGACTGAAAAGATTATTAGCTTTAAAACACATTTCTAAAAGATTATAATTTGTCACGATACCTTATTTTAACAAAAATGTTTTAAATTTCTTTTCTACAGGAGCAGACAGAATGTCTTCTTTCGGAGATTTCATAGCTCTGTCAGCTACGTGTGATGTTGTGACAGCTAAAATCATATCTCGAGAGGTATTCTGAGTGTTATAGAAAAATTTCATTAGAAAGTAAACATTTTCTGGCTTCTGGTATTTTGTTTGTAGGTGAAACATTTGGATCGATATTTAGCTGCATGACAGAAATTCACAAAATCAAATTTCATAAGTTAATATTTTTAAGATGTTTAAAATAACTCCCCATTAAAAAAAAATTAAAAAAATATTATTGAAATGTAATTTTAATTCATACCAAGTGAAACGTCCTAAGTGTTGTTCATGATATTTGCTAAAATTTTGATAAATTTACTACCTGGACATTTATTATACACATGCAAAATACAGTTATACTTCCAGCAAAAGAAAACTACCATACCCCTAGTAGATATAAATAAGTACAAAAATATAACAGTAGTGGATGACATCTGGTTTTATGTACTTGTTTGTAGTGTTTTTACAGCTTTTATGCAATACCAACAATGAAATAAACTAAATTATATTCTGAATAGTTTATTATGAAGAAAATGTTCTATTTTGAAACTCCCAATCATATACAAGGACTTTTTTTATACAAATAACATTAATATTTTTATTTTAATAATAAGATAATGTTCTTCTTTACACAATCGTTTAATATTCTTTAACAAATTCATATTCTCACTAAGAAAAATGGAAGTGGAGACACTTTAACATAAAATTAATTTTTTTAATTATTTAAGGTTTCAGATGGAATAATTGCTCCAGACTATGACCCAGCTGCTTTAGAAATTCTGAAAAAAAAGAAAAGTGGAAAATATTGTATTCTAAAGGTATATTTCTCATTGTAATGCAGAAGTAGTAAGTTAAATATGTTGCATAATAATTCAGTAGTTATTAAATTTTTACGGTGTATGAAGCTGGTAGTTAAGAAATTAAAATTCAACTTCCTGAAAAAATACTGTACTTTCAACTGTTAAGACTTATTCGAGTACATTAAGTTATGAAAGTACTATCAGTTAATTACCAGACATAATTTTAAGTTAAAATTAATTTTTCCCATATTTAGATGGATATTACTTACAAGCCCTCACCAATGGAGCTTCGTGTGCTCTTTGGTTTATATATGGAACAAAAAAGAAATGATGCTGTTATCGACAAGAAATTATTTTCCAATATTGTCTCCACCAACAAAGAGGTAAGTTTTTATGTGATATTAGGATATTGCCTTTGACACCTAGTGTGCATAGTCTAGAGGTATTAGGAAAGTTTTATTAATTTTAAAATAAATATTAATTACTCCTAAATATTAAAATGTTTATTATTGTAAGTTTTGTTTCCACACATTTATTGTTATGATTAATTCATAATACACAGTTTAAGTTCTTTTCACATTAAATTTAGCTTCTAGTAAGTAGATTTGAGTGTTAATTGATTTGTTTTTTCGAAGGATGGAAAGAAAAGATTGTGCATAAAAAAATTGTGGGTGTGTGTTAAAAGTGACAGTAACAGTAAAGTCGTATTAGAATTTTTTTCTTCTTATATACTGTTTATTACACTTGTTTTTTTTTTGTTTTTAACAGTTTGGTAAATGGTAAATTTGGTGTAATTCAGCTTTTATGTAATGGATCATTTTAAGTTCATTACACGTGTAACTGAGAACTGATCTTTCAGCTTCCAGAATCCGGTCTTCGTGACTTAATTGTAGCCACCATAGCCCTGAAATACACCCAGTCTAATTCTGTTTGTTATGCTAAAGATGGGCAGGTATGAAAAAAAATTTTTTATTATTATTCAGTAAAAGAGTAAATACCTAATTTTTATGATTGAAAATTGTTTATCTCATTTTCTTTCTGAATTGAATTGTTTAGCCAAACTTGTTCCTCACCTGCTTTTAAAGGATGTCACTTTCAGACAAACATTATCCGTTTAAGGAAAGTCCGTTCTAATATGTTTGTGAATACTAAGACTCATAAAGAGTCATGAAAACCACTGTTATGTGACATAGGCTTTACAATTTAACCAGTGGTAACTAGACTTTTATGTGAAAAAGCCAATAAGTGAGAAGAGACTGGGACCTCTGGCCAACAGGGATAGTGCTGTATCATTCGGTGTGTATGAGCTGCCACTGTTCACCTAAAACTAGGAACATAATCACTACAGTGTGTGGTCGTTTTTCATAAAAAAATGTAGACTTCTACACACAGAAACTGAGTTACATGAAACTTAAGTGTTTTCAAAAGCCAGTGGATGTTTTAGACTTTATAGAATTTTAGGGTACTCATTTGACCCCCACCCACCCATTCCCAATCCTTCCCTGCCTATAAAAAAGCTCCCGTCCCTTATTTTCTTTTTTTTTCACTTATTGAATTTTTCACAGAAAAGTTTATAAAAAAAAATTCCTTTCATTAATTACAATTGAAATTTAAAATGTCATAACTAATTGGAATGTTATTAATAGTCTAATGTGTTAATAAAAAACGTTCCCAAGTAATGACGTTAAATAATTCTTAGTAGATTTCACCTTTGTTTTTAAATTTCTTGATTGCTGTTATTCAGGTAATTGGTATTGGAGCAGGACAACAGTCTAGGATTCATTGCACTCGGCTGGCTGGTGAGAAAGCTACCAATTGGCAAGTGTTTCTGTTAAACTCAAGTCCTTAGCTGTTTATTGGCATTCTGTCAATTAAAATTACTTTCTGTATGTGTATAACAGGTGTTTTGTTTCAAAGAAATACAAGCTTAAGTCAATGATTACACAGGTCTGCAAATTTAAACTTCATAAAAGTTGTTTTGGTTTGAATAATGGAGATTTTCCATAATTCTGCTATGCAGATTTCGAAAATATCATTTTTTTTCTATTATGTAAGAATTTTTTACAAATCAGGAAGAAGAAAAAAACTCTCACTTAGATCAAATTATTATATCATTAGCCTCAATGAACATTTTTTAGCATCATGTTTGAGTTCTAGAACGATCTATAAGACTCACATTGTGATTGGTCTAGAGAAAACTATAGCCAGTGGTTGTCAACATTTTAAACATAACAAAATGTGACCCAATTTCAATGAAAATGATTTACTTGTGTAAAAGTACATATGACGTTTTGTAAAACAACTGTACATGATGGAGAAAAATGGATATCATATTTGGATTCAGTGTACAGGAACTACTTTAGAACATGGAAAAATTTCAAGATAATAATATCATTGCAGGCCGATGTTATTGAAGATAATAATGTACTGTCAGGTTACGGTTTTACAGACTAGTGTTAGCTTACAAACAAATCCAGGTGATTATGTACTGTAGGTTTTACGGAGTAGTGTTACTTACGAACAAATCCAACTGATTACTAGTACGTACTGTCAACCTATGACCTTGTAGAAGACTACATATTTTATTAAATGTGTGCATCCATTCTGAAAGTATGATGTAAAATGGAGAAGAAAAGGATTGTCATATAAAGAAACTGCAACAATATATATCAAAGTTTTATTTTTTTCACTATTGCTCAGATTATGATTTACTGTCATACAAATGCATGTCTTAGAAAAGCCCTGAAACTGATATATTGGTAACTATGAATATGCTCATGAATGTCACAATCAAGTAATTACATCAATGAGTTAAAAGCACGTAAGTTTAAAGAGTAAAAAATGTTGGTTAAAATAACTGTTTCAGAACTTTCTGTTGAATGAAGGTATATTAAATGATGAGTAATGTATCTGTTATCAGTTTTAGGCTAAATAATAACCAGTAATTTTATTTCATTCATTTTACCAGTTGAGTAAAGTATACAGATTTGGAAATGTCTGTAAAAAATAACAGCTGTGTAATTTTTATTAATTATGTAGGTGGCTACGTCAGCACCCTAAAGTTTTGGGAATGATTTTTAAAAGCGGAGTAAAACGAGCTGAAATGTCTAACATAATTGATGTATTTGTCAATGGAACTGTTGGAAAGGTAAGTAGTTTTATCTTGTTGTAATGTTTTACTAGAATATAATACACTAACATCAGACACCATTTTTACATCAGTCTTCATTCCAATGCTTTGTTTTGGAAGTGAGTAATTATGCTCATACACTTCACGTGCCTGGGTTATGTCCATAGGGTAAGTTTTTAACAAGCACCTTAAATTTATTGTGTGTTACAGGGATGATAATCTTCTAGACTATTTCTTAGATATCATAACAGTGGATCTTCGAAGTAATTAAAAAAATTTTTTACTTGCAAAATACTGCAAAAATAATAATTCATTGTCTTGAAAGAACAGTTAGCAAGGCATTGAATTTTTTGTTGTTGTTGCTGTGATAAGTAATTCCTGCTACAGAGATGAAAATTTGGTTTGTTTTGAATTTCGTGCAAAGCTACACAAGGGCTACCTGTGCTAACCATCTCTAATTGAGCAGTGTAAGACTAAAAGGAAGGCAGCTAGTCATCACCACCCACTGCCAACTCTTGGGCTTCTCTTTTACCAACAAATAGTGGGATTGACCATAACATTATAACACTTCCACAGCTGAAAGGGTGAGCATGTTTGGTAGGATGGGGAGATGAAAGTACAGACAGTGTGGCTAATTCTTAATAACAAGTAACATCATTCAAAGTGTACAAGCATTACATGTTATTTGACTTAGTTGACTGTTTTTTATAAGACACTGGAACTTGTAATTTAACTGCTATAATGTTGACTTAAATAACAATCAATACAGAAAGCCTTTACACATTATATTTAATATAATTAATTACCAACATTAGAACTTTCATGAACAAAAAATAACTTTTTTTATAGTTGAGATTAAGATTTAACAAATCTAAACTATGATTAGGAATAGATTATAATGCGTTGGCTGCTATGTGTCCAACCGGTGGGTCACAACCAACTTTAGTTATGGACTGTGTGACACACCGATGCATCATAGACAATTATGTTTCAAAGCCAAATTTCTTTTGTGGCATACAAGTTTGGAACACTGACTGCTACTCAACACGTCTTGGATGCTTAATTTTATTTATACTTAATTTATTATGTGGCAGCCAACGTGTTAAGGGTACAACTATGTTCATGGAGGTATCTGAATATAACAGCCAATGTGTTAAGGTTACAATTATGTTCAGGGAGGTATCTGAATATAACAGCCAATGTGTTAAGGGTACAGTTATGTTCATGGAGGTATCTGAATATAACAGCCAACGTGTTAAGGGTACAGTTATGTTCATGGAGGTATTTGAATATAGCAGCCAACGTGTTAGGGTACAATTATGTTCATGGAGGTATCTAAATATAACAGCCAATGTGTTAAGGGTACAACTGTGTTCATGGAGGTATCTAAATATAACAGCCAATGTGTTAAGGGTACAGTTATGTTCATGGAGGTATCTGAATATGACATAAAATGTCATTCTTCCTGCAATTTTCAAATTGGAAACACTGTTACTGAGATTGAAACACCTTTTCTACAGAGAAACAATTACATTTTCTTCGTTAGTTGTTTCTTTCTGCGATGGAATAAAGAAATGTGGTAAACATTTCGTTTCTTGTGGTAAAGACCTTTCTTTCCTTGTATAGATATGTTTATACAAAGACACGTGAAAATGTTGTGAACCAACATTTGTCTTAGAACTGAGTATTCACCAGCTAGTGTAACACTTTTTTTCTCTCTTGTGAATGAAGTAATTTCTGACTTTTTTTCAAACATTTTATTTATTTATTTGCCTTCTTATTAGCAGTATGAAGCATTATTATTAGGCAAAATCCAGATTCAAATCCAGCTAACAGCTTTAAGTATTGGTTGAAAAGACCAAATACAGGATAGATCCACATCATTTGTTACAAGGGCCATAATTCAAACCGAGTTAACAGCTTGTAAACTCGTGTGTGTGTTTTTCTCAAGTGAGGTTTCTCTTCTTGCACCCAAAATTCATTCAACTTTGTGGAAAATTTAACGATATTCTTACTACTGGTAATGAGTTTCTAAGTTTTAGATAACCTTTTCAAAACTTTTACGTGAACACTTCTTTAGTAAATGTTCTTTGAATACTATTATATTTAACATTTTTTAGTTTTACTACAGAACCAATATTCTAGCTATTTATTGTATAATTTGGGTGTTCATTTAATTGTTATTGTGTCTTCTGAAACATTAGTATTTGACTATACTCTTGGTAATGTCCTGCTACTTGACTCTACACTTAAACAGTAATGTGTCATAATTAATTGACCAAACACTTTAACATATACTGTTTTTTGTTTTTTTTTTAGGATATGCCAGAAGATATTTGGAGAAGCTCATTGGAAAATCCACCCTCACTTTTAACCCAAGTAAGTTTTCCAAGAAAATTTATTTGCTCTGGATAAAGGGGAAGATTTCTTTGTTCTACTTTCTGATAGTATATATTTCATGTTTTAGGTGAGTTTTTTTTTTTTATTATGAAGTCTGATGTTTTAATGTTTTGGAAACACTAAATTCAAATTGAAGAAATTCATCAAGCTCGCATTTTTCTTTTGAAAGTTACTCGTAAAATCTTTGTAATTTTTGTTTACTAAACTGTTCTTAAGTTCTGCTGCGAAACGGGTTCTATAAAAATAACTGTTACGAACAATATAAACAGCAACACAAACCTTCTCTACCTTAAACACGTTCTTCAATAATACAAGTTTTCTGGCCATTAACCCTATTGCAACAGGCTCAGTATCAAATGTGAAGTTCGTATACACATTTGTACACGTTAAGTATTTATATTAACTTTTAATGCAGTATGTGCATCTTCACCAAATTTGGTAGACTTTTAGTAAACATTATAAATCTTTTTGTACACAAAAAATCATTTTTTAATGAAGTATTTTTACTAAAGATTTGTTTGTGAATATATCGAGTCTCTTTGGTTACTAGTCCAAGTGCAAAGTGATTTTCATGTTATGATTAAAAAACTATTCTTCATCCCAAAAATCTCGAATATCATTTTTGTAATTTCTAAAACCTCCTAAATACATTTGAAACGTTTATTTCCAGTAAAACTATATATCTTATCTGTAGCTTTCTGTACCCTAACTCTATACAGGGTCAGTCAATTTGACTGACCTCGTAACTACTAATAAAAAAAATCTAAATAAATCTAAAGTACTCATTTTTTTCTTTCTAGAATGACTTCTAATTGTAACATGAAACTACATTTGTTTATCCTAAGTAACTTTAAACTTGTAACAATATGCATTTTTTTATACTTAAATTTTGTTTCATTGCTCTTTGAACCACTGACTACTATGATTCATGTCATAATAAGTTGTAAATCACTTTGGGAACATGGAGCTCACGTTATGCTATCTCGAATTACATTACCCACAAGCTGCTTGCATGTGTGCCTCGTGAAACATTATTATATTACTATTATTATGATTTATTTTACCTTAACTAACTTGAAAACATCCTTAATTTTACATTTTAGTTATTTTTATGATAATGAAAAACAAGAAATAAAGTACTTACCCGGGTTTTTTTTGCTGTCGACTGTCCATAAACTTAACCCTACTTTTTTTATACTAATGGTAGTAATGCACTAAATAACTTTTATTTAATTAAATAATGCACCAAAGAACATAGAATAATAACATGCCAAAAGCAGACAATTTCCCCTAACTATCACAATTTTTCTAGCTTTCTAACTGTGTGACAAGAGCTGTTACAAATTCACCCAAGCTAGTTGTTATCTTTTCCATGGGAACAAAGCTTATACAAACTGAGAAATCGACAATTCTCTGTTCAGAAAACAATGTAATATACTACGTCATTTGATAGATGAAAACCTTGGCTTCCTATTGGTTATGCATAATATAGTATTAAGCATGAGAGAGAACTATTAACAAATCCTGAAAGAGGGGATGTGATAGGTGGGTTTCGGATTTTCTATTTGATGGCTCCGTAACTAAACAAGATTGTAGGCTATAAATATTATGGTTTGTCTGAGCAATGACGATTTTATAATGAAGAATTGATGTTAAATTTCATACTTGTTAGAGGGGTGGTGAAAAAAATAGAGAAGAGAGGATGCCTAGAGAAAATGTCATATTTTTCACACTAGGGGAATTTCAGAATTTTTAAAACATTCCCTTATAAAATTAAGAATTTGTATAATTTGTATTTGTTAAAATATGGGATTATTAGCTATGATTTTATGCTACACTACTTGGTATAACATATAAACAGTAATTTAATTAAATTTTGAAAATAACTCTCTAAAAGACTGACTTGTGCAGTTAGACCCACCTGTTATGAAAGGATTAATGCAATTTGACGTTTAAATTATGTATTAAGAGAATAGTTACTGTTCTTCAGAAAGACATTTCGAGGACACTGACATGGCATCCTTCTCAAAATAAATGCCAGTAGATTAAAATTTCTAATAGTAATACAAGTTTGAAATAAGACGAACTTTTTTTGACAGGCAGAAAGGGAGGAGTGGATTGGTAAGTTGTCAGAAGTGGCCTTGAGTTCTGATGCTTTCTTTCCTTTCCGGGACAACATAGATCGTGCTCAGCAGGTGAGTTAATCAATGAGTTTAGAGTTTAGTTGTTTTTTGTCCTTCAAACTTTTACTAAACCATTCTTAGGGTTTAAAATAGCGGTTATAATATTTCAGTACCAACAATCATTTCCTTGACCTGTTCTTAAACAAAAAACTACTGATTTTGCCAATTGTGCAGCTTATATTAATGATAACTTAACCACTTGGCTAAGTTACCATACAAGTTGGTTGTTTATGTACAGGTTCACCCACTAAAGATTGCTCTCTTTTTTTATGATAGCATTTACTACTGAACTTTCAGCTGTAATTTTGTTTAAACAACTTGTACATGTGTGCTTTACTGCTTGTTATGCAATTGATCATTCTCCTGTTCACATGGGTGATTAGGTTACCCACAGTTCAGTCAGTACGGCTGGACTGGGAATCCGTGGTTTATACTTTGGATTATAGGGGTGATAATCAAATCCCACTATTTGATTAAATTAGCCCAAGAGTTAGTGGTGGGTGCTGTTGACCAGCTGCTTTTCCTCTAGTCTATCAGTTCAAACTAAGTTAGTGTAGGTAGCCCATAAGTAGCTATACTTGAACTTCTGGAAAAATATAATAAAAAATCAGGATACTTTGATTTCTCTGTTTTCAACTAGTTGAAACGTACAGAATGACATACTGACATTTATTTATGAAAATACTGCCACTCGTTATCTATCAGAATTATGTAAAAATATTAACATGAAGTGTGAGAAAATAATTAGATTGTGGGCAGTTCTGCATGTATAATACAACAGTAAAATTGTTTAAAATATTAAACCACTTGTCCATTCAGGAACAGTTTAAAGAAACTGCTCGATTCTTTGACTTAGTATGAACTTGTAATAATTTGTGCTTGTAACTTAAAGGAGGGATGACTTACTTTACCAGAGATTATGTCCAATAGTTTATAGGGATTTCCAATTGGACAGAACAAGTCTGTACAAATGATGAAAGTTGAATATGTTACAGTGTATGGGATATGTTTTAGAATACTGCATTTTGGGGTTACTCAGTCCATTGGAACTGTACTTGGGGTTACTCGGTCCATTGGAACTGCACTTGGGGTTACTCGGTCCATTGGAACTGCACTTGGGGTTGCTCGGTCCATTGGAACTGCACTTGGGGTTGCTCGGTCCATTGGAACTGCACTTGGGGTTACTCGGTCCATTGGAACTGCACTTGGG